CTTTTTTTTTTTTTTTTTTTTTTTTTTTTTTTTTTTTTTTTAGAAAAAGGTGAGGAGTTTAATAGTTGAAAATAAGTAAAGACACACCTGGAAGCTTATGTTCTAAATTAAACGAATAGTTCATGGATTTTCAGACATCTGCTCTTTCCAGAACAATGTTTGAAAACAAATGCTGTTTTTGATAATGGCTGCCCTTGAGTAAAAGTGCAAGAAAACACAAGACGGTGATTAAGAGTTGCTGTCCTCTTTGCCACTATGGGTAAACAAACCTTCTTCTCTACAGCAGGCACACTCTTCCCTCTGCCACTCTAATCCAGATTGTTTCCCTATTCCACCTCTCCCCTTGTCTATATGCTGATCCAGACTTAGTACCTAGTCTTGTGGTGGAGTTTATATACTGAAAGATTGGTACAGAAAGAATTACAGGTTTGCTGAGAGCAGCATAGAGGCCAATTGGGAAAGCAAAGGAGTTTCTGGAGTGTAGCTCTCACCATGAGCCTCCCACAGACACAACATCTTTGGGCAACTTTGTTTTGGATTCTTGGCCATGACACAAGACTTGCTACAGCAGAAAAACTGAGGTGAGCCCAGCAGGCTGTATTTGATTTGACCTGCAGATGAATCCAGTATACAGGTTTAAAACAACCAGACTGAGGGACAGTGGATGACTGGGGTGACGGGAGTGCAAGACAAATCTACTAAGAACTACAAGCAATAGCGTTTGCCTGTGTTCCCTAGATGCTCTGATCTTTCAGCAAGGCACTTGCACTGGCCTTCCTGAAGTGTTATGGTCCTTAGGTGATATCAATAAAACTACCCAAGACCCTGGAGGTGCTTTCCCTGTGGGTAAGGGCTTCTTGTGAATTTTATTTTAACTTGGAAGGTTATTCATTTCAAAGGAATCTTGGAATGTAAATTGTTCTTTGTTATTCTGTTTCCTCCATAAGAAAGAAAGAGTTCAGACAGATGGTTAAATTGGATTCCATAAAAAATGTACTTACCTTTCTGAAAACAGTTTTTCAAGGAAAGACCTGAGGTTTTTGTTTATTTTTTAATTAGTTTGCTAAATTTTGATGAAAGATTGAGCTCTGTCAGTCTGTAGTGTGCTAAGGACTTTTAATTTTGGACATGATACTTGGTAAAATCCAACCACAGAGTTTTTTTTTTTTTAAGACATATGCATTATTTTTAATGGATTATTTGCTTGGATAGCAAGTACAAGGCAAAGTACTTGGGAAGGAATTGGGAGGCAATATGGGCAGAGTGTCAGAACTAAAATTCACAATGCCTCGGGAGCAACTACAGAGTTTTTAAAGGACTGTCGGGAAACTTGAGAATTCAAAGAAATTTGCATATTACATAATTCAATTTTTTTTTACTCAGTTTTCCATATAATTTACCCTATAAGAGGAAAGTTTATTATTGGACCATTTAGGTTTTTATTTTTTATTTTATTTTAATATTTTATATGGGTGGCTGGAGAGACAGCTGTGGGTGCTCGAACCAAACTCTTATATTGTTTGGTTGTGAGCCCAGTCTTTAATGGCTGATCCATCTCTCCAGCCCCCATTTAGGTTTTTAGGTATGCTACCTTTTAAGATATTTTTTTTCCATGTCTTGGAAAATGCCACTCCTCCATTTCCTTCTTTTTTCTTTTTCCATTCTTCCTTTTGTTACTCATTATAAAGTCAGAAAAGGCTTTTAGTTTTCTTTAAGATGTCTTTTTTTATGTCAATCATATCTTTCTTGGTACCTTACTGTGGCTTGGAGCTTACTGTATAGTACAGTCCAGCCTTGACCATGCAGAAATTTCACTGCCTCAGCTTCCAAAGACTCGTATTAAGAGTACAAATTACCTCTTTCAGGAAAACAACAACAAAAATCAAAAATCTTCTTTTAAAATGAAGTCAATAATTTAAAAGAATTATGTCAAATAGGAAGTTTAGCTTGAAGGAGTTATATCCAATATGCTATTAAGAACAAGCAAAAATTGCTGGTATGTGAGCTGGAAGACTGGCCAGTTTAGGACACAACATTGGGGACATTAAGACAGAGAAAATGAAATCTTGTGTGACCAGCTATGTGTGCTGGCTCTAACATTAGGGAGAATGATTTTCTGTCAGTCACTTGCTTTTCAAATTAGTCGTGTCCAGTTACTTAGGCTTGAAAAAAATATTTCTTTTGCATATAATTTTTCTTTTACAGTAGTCTTACTTGCATATGTCTTTGCACCATGTGCATGAAGTGCCTTCAGAGGCCAGAAGATGGTGTTAGATGGTCTGGAACTAAAGTTCCATTGGCAGGGAACCACTATAAAAATGCTGGGAATTGAACCCCATTTCTTCTGGAAGAGTAACAAGTGCTTCAAACACAACCATATCTCCAGCCCCTTGAGTCACGTAGGAGGGCCTTCTGTATTTGTGTTGCTTTCATTGGTTAATCAATAAAGAAACTGCTTGGCCTGATAGGGCAGAACTTAGGTAGGCAGAGAAGAAAGAACTGAATTCTGGGAGGAAGGAAGCAGAGTCAGAAAGACACCTTGGAGCCGCTAGAGACAGACTTACCGACTCTTTCCTGGTAGGCCACTGCCACGTAGTGATACAGATTAACAGAAATGGGTTAAATCAAGATGTGAGAGTTAGCCAATAAGAGGCTAGAGATAATGGGCCAAGCAGTAATTTAATTAATATAATTTCTGTGTGGTTATTTTGGATGTAAAACCCAAACAGCCAGAACAAACAGCGGCCGCTTCTCCCATAACACTTGAGGCTTATTGTTTTTTCCACTGAAAATCATATTTTTAAAAATATGGTTTTAACTCTCAAGGACCAAAGAGAGATCTGTATGTAACATTAACTAAATCTGACTCAGGAAATGAAAAACCTAAATATCATGTATATACTTTTAACGGTAATTCATCTGTCTTCACTGTTGAATAGTATTCTGTTATATTAAAACACCACAATTTATGTATCCATTTATGTGATAAAAGACATTTGTTTATATTCAGTTTGTATTTGGAAAATTAATAAGCATTCACATGTAATTTCCTTTTTAAATTATTTCTTTTACTTTTGAGATTATAATATAATTATATTTCTCTCTTTCCTTTCCTCCCTTCAAGCATTCACACATATCCCTCCTTGCTCTCTTTCAAGTTCATAGTTGTTAGGAAATGAATTACATTTGTAATTATTTTCTCATTAATTATTGCTACATACATATGCATATACATATATATTCCTAAATTGCTTAGTCTGTATAATTTTACTTGTATGTAGTTTTCACGGTTGACCATTCAATACTGGCTAACCAATTGGTGTTCTCTGTTGAAGATTATTTTGTCAGAATTTAGCATTCTTTAGTTGCCTGTATAGTTTTAGAAATCAACGAAATGAAATTGGAATCCCTGGGTAACAGGCTGTGAAGTTCATCAAAAATCTTGCCAGATGGACTTCCAAGTAGTTGTATCTATGAATACTTCCACTAGAGTATACACAATTTCCCTTTTTGCTGGGTTTCCTGTTTTAGGCTACATTATTGGTGAGATTTCATAGGTCAAGTTTTCCTGGCATATACAAAAGACCCTATCATAAAGCATACTTCCTGGTCCTCTGGGTCTTCCAATTTTCCTACCCATTCTCCTGAAAGGTTTCCTGTGCCTCAGGTATGGTTGTGTTTTAGATATCTGTTGCTGAAGGGCACTCCATGGTCAGTTGTTCTCTGCATTTGGACCAGTTGTGGCTTTCTGCAATCATCCATCTGCTACAGCTTTAGTGAAGAGTGAGTGCTATACCTATATATGGGTATAAGGATTCATATTTAGAATGCAGTTAGAATGTTTTTATATTTATTTATTAAGTATACAATATTCTGTCTGTGTGTCAGCCTGTAGGACAGAAGAAGGCATCAGATCTCATTTCAGATGGTTGTGGGCCACCATATGGTTGCTGGGATTTGAACTCAGGACCTTTGGAAGAGCAGGCAACACTCTTAGCCACTGAGCCATCTCGCCAGTCCTGCATTTTACTTTATTACATACTAATCCAAGCCCTCCACTCCTGCTCCGTGCACCTTCCCCTCACCCTTCCCCTCCATTTATTTCTCAGAGAGTATAAGGCCTTGCATGGGGGGGGGGAGTCAACAAATTTGATCACA